GACTATACACAAGTTTGATTTGAATGGTGTCCCCTTGGTGGTGACTATACACAGGTTTGATTTGAATGGTGTCCCCTTGGTGGTGACTATACACAGGTTTGATTTTAATGGTGTCCCTGGGTGGTGACTATACACAGGTTTGATTTTAATGGTATCCCTTGGGTGGTCGCAATACACAGGTTTGATTTTAATGGTGTCCCCTGGGTGGTTGCTATACACAGGTTTGATTTTAATGGTGTCCCCTGGGTGGTTGCTATACACAGGTTTAATTTTAATGATGTCCCCTGGGTGGTCGCTGTACACAGGTTTGATTTTAATGATGTCCCCTGGGTGGTCGCTATACATAGGTTTGATTTAAATGATGTCCCCTGGGGTGGTCGCTGTACATAGGTTTGGTTTTAATGGTGTCCCTTGGTTGGTCGCTATACACAGGTTTGATTTTAATGTCCCCTGGATGGTCACTATACCTAGGTTTGATTTTAATGATGTTCCCTGGGTGGTCGCTATATACAGGTTTGAATTTAATGGTGTTCCCCTGGGTGGTCTCTATACACAGGTTTAATTTTAATGATGTCCCCTGGGTGGTTGCTATATACAGGTTTGAATTTAATGGTGTCCCCCTGGGTGGTCTCTATACACAGGTTTAATTTTAATGATGTCCCCTGGGTGGTTGCTATATACAGGTTTGAATTTAATGGTGTCCCCTTGGTGGTCACTGTACACAGGTTTGATTTTAATGGTGTCCCTGGGTGGTCGCTGTACACAGGTTTGGTTTTAATTGTGTTCCTGGGTGGTCGCTGTACACAGGCTTGATTTTAATGGTGTCCCTGGGTGGTTGCTGTACACAGGTTTGATTTTAATGGTGTCCCTGGGTGGTCGCTGTACACAGGTGTAATTTTAATGGTGTCCCTGGCCGGTCGCTGTACACAGGTTTGGTTTTAATTGTGTCCCTTGGTTGGGCGCTATATACAGGTTTAATTTTAATGGTGTCCCCTGGGTGGTCGCTGTACGCAGGTTTGATTTTAATGGTGTCCCTGGGTGGTTGCTATACAGAGGTTTGACTGTTCTAATGGATAACTAATACATTTATTAGAGATCAAGTGATTGGAGTAAATCAAAAGATGATTTTCTTTAAAGATAATTTAGTTACAGTATTTGCTCTTTCGTCAGTGCATTTTCAATAGTGGAACATGTACGACAATTTAATTAAATATATAATGGTTTAGAAGCACCTGTCATTTGCAAATTTGTGAATAACATATGCAATATTTGTTAACAGGGTTTTTCACATTTCAATTATTGTTGCAATAGAGCAGGTATGGTATCGTAATTTACATCTTTACAGCGGTTGTTCAATACCACGTCTGTTGTGCAGCAAATATCTTGTGTACCAGTACACATATTTAACATGTTGTCCCAGGTATTGTCAATGATATGCGTCATCGTCGCCTTTTATTGAAGTAATCATTCTTATGTAGTTTTCAAAGGTTAATTGACACATAAATCATTATACTTGTCTGGGCTTGCACCTTCTATGAAGACCTATGAGATATTTTGGTCTGAGGGGTGCATGTCTTAAAGCTAGCATATATATACATTGTATAGTGGAACATTGTATAGCGTTGTTATCTTTAAACTTTTCTACAGTCTGGATTCAGATTTTATTTTTATTTAGATCATATCAAGTATGTACTTGACTTTATTGTGCAATATGGCTGCCTAATATCAGTGTGACAATCGAGAAATCAGAGCATCGCTTTGCTTCTTAAAAGTCTGATGGATCACAATGTCTCAGCATGCCAGCAATCTTTTAGTACTGTCAACCGTTTTACATAATTGAACTTTTCACAATTTTGTAGCGTTCATAAAGACAAAATTCCCCAAAAGTCGCTGACACTCTGTCGTAGGTTCGCAGAGAAATTTTTACTGTCACACAATTTATATATTTACTGACTTGCAAAAATTGTTTTTTTTGAGGGGGAAATTAAAGCCGTTTACAGTATTCAAGAATAGTATATGTGCATACATGTAAGTCAATATTGTTTTAAAATAAAGAGGAGTACAGTAAGATACTGATAGAAGTCAGTCATGTGATAATGTATGCAGGAGTATTAAATTGTATTATTATACATCTGTCGCCGTAATGCCATACGTTACAGCGTATTTTGTTTGCGGTATTTTATGGGGTATTTTCATACTACCATATTTGGAAATGCGAATTCCAAATATGGAATGATTACGCGCGTAAGCGTCCTCTAATAATAAAAACAAACATGGCTGCCACCAGGATTTGACCGGAATCCATACAAAGAAGTTCGCTGATTCTGTTCTAAACTTTTTGGATTTCGGCATTCCCATGATGTATCTTTGAAGGGAAAAGATGTATAATATGCGCGTCGGGCGATACTGCCGCTCTACTATCTTCGTGCATACTTTGAGGTATCTTCGTAATAACCTTATAGTATTCAAATGAGAAACAAAGTAGTATTTATCTTGTATATCATGGTAGTTCAGTGCAATAAAGTAGTGTAATGATTATTTTTTATCTTTGTAATTTTTGTAATAATTACTTTTGTGTATTCTCAAGATGGCAGCTCATAACCCTTTAATTTTTGTTTATAAAATAAATGATGAGAATGTACGTTGCTGTCATCATAGAATTGCATTTGATAGGGAGACGTAAGGTGTTATTTTTATTCATGTACCAATTGTATTGGTATCTCAACAGTAAAGGTATAGACACTTACGGTAAGCACAGGTATAAACACTGGTGTATGTTCTTCTCACATGTACATGTAGGGTGTATGTTTAACACGTGAATTACTATGCTTCTCACAAGGCAGTGGACTAATACAACGAGTTTGCTATGGATACCGTTACTTTTTTGTCCTGCCTTGTGGCATGCTACATGTCTTGACAAAAGTATAGCGTATTTGCTCCATTGCAAGTGTATATAAAATAGAAACGCACTCATTGTATATCATTGTGACATAGACTTATTTGTGTCATTTACCTTAGTGTATACTCTACAAATAGAGCAAATACTATGATCCAATTTTGCCTTTTTAGGATATTTTCAACTTGGACAGTGTATTTTTAGCTCTCCACTGTCGACTTTGTTGAGCAGAGCTTATATGAGTGATCGTTCGTTCGTCGTCGTCGGCATCAACTTTTTACTTCATTTACTTCTTCTTAAAAACTACAATTCTTATTTCTTAGATTCGTTCATTTTGTGATGATATCTTCACTTTCCTAATTGAAATGTGCATTGCATGCTATCCGCAGAGCTATCTCAACCGAGAGGCTGCTTGTTTACTGTATATAATGTAATATATTGTGTATATATTTTTGTGTCATAATGTTTCTGCTTGTTTCATACTCAAAGATATGGACATGATTTATTAGCTTTGTTCATGTTGCAGGTTTTAAATTCACAATGAATTGGTCGTAAACTTTTATGAGCCGAGTTGTTTAAGAATCCACTAACAATGGTTCTGTATTTGCTTCAATGGAATCATGCCAGTCATTTAATACATCAAGGTAGAAGCCTTCTTTATAGATGAAAACACCCAGAATTTCACTTATTTTGCAATGTATTGTTAGTTAGTTTAGTTAGTTATGCCTATCATCCCTCTTGGGACATTGGCCACCAACAAGATTCCTCCAACCTGACCGGTCCTGTGTCAGTTTTTCCACTTCTCCTCAGGTAGAGCCCAGGTATTTCTTGGAAAGCCTCGTTTTCTTTTTCCCTGTGGACTCCATTTTTTTTGCTGTCCCTTGTGATGTTTTGGACTGGTTTTCATAGGGTATGTCCCAGCCAGCGCCAGCATCTCTTAAATATCTCCCATTCTATAGGCTGTTGACTCATCCTTTGCCATAACTAATGTAATGTTTTGGGTCACTAGCCTAGTTTATGTGAAAGGTAACTACTTTATTGTACCATTATTCCAACTTGTAGGTTGTGGACAAAGGGTGGATGAATCACTTGTTTATTGCGAATGGTGAAGTACTTTGTAAATTATTTTGAAAATATGATACTGTAGTTTTTGACTTCTGCGTGCAAGTACACAATGGGAGTCTTTGCAGTTGGTGTGTCTGTATGTACGCATGTCTGTGTCTGTGTCTGTCTGTTCCACCGATATCTCAAGAACCAATCATCAAATCTCCATGAAATTTTGTACATAGAGACCCAGGGACAACGCACAGACCTGACTAG